CACACACACACACACAAGCAGGGGACATGTAAGGGACGTAACAGTCCCTCCCTGTCGACACCCCACATTCACGAACAAAGAACCCAATACTACGAACAAAGAAACCAAAGCTACGCACAAGAAAATAGTCCCTAATACAACAATAACTTACATTCAGGACATAAAGCAAAGTGGAGCAACAATTCAAAACAAAGTTTGCATAAATAATAACATTAAAATATAAACAAGACACAATAACCAGGCTACAAACCATTGTAAAATCGAAATCATATCAGCGCCATAATAGCGGACTACTTAACTAAAAACCACAACAATCCTCAAAGGAACATAAAAAGCGACATTCGCCTTCTTAGTTACAAATAATTATAATAACAGATAAACACACTCCAGCCGTTCACACAGAAACAGTAACACAACAACGTGTTTATACTCAAACACTACAACACAATTATATCCAAACAATAAATCAACAACGCGTTTGTATCCAACCAATGCAACACATTTATATTCAAACAATAACTCAACAACTCGTTCTTACGTGTTTATAACGTATCAATAACGCAACGTGTTTATAACGTATCAATAACACGTGTTAATAACGTATCAATAACAACGTTTTTATAACGTATCAATAAAACAACGTGTTTATAACGTATCAATAACAACGTTTTTATAACGTATCAATAAAACAACGTGTTTATAACGTATCAATAACACCGTTTTTATAATGTATCAATAACACGTGTTTATAACGTATCAATAACACCTGTTTATAACGTATCAATAACACAGCGTGTTTATAACATATCAATAACACGTGTTTATAACGTATCAATAACACGTGTTTATAACGTATCAATAACACAACGTAAACCTAGACAATAACTGCCGAACGACAGCTGTGCAAAAATAAGGTAAAGTTCGTTTAGTCTCCCACATGCATGCTCTCACACGATCAAGGGTTGTCCTTTGTATAGAGTCCTTTCATATGACGTCACGTCCGTTCGTGATACCTACGCCCGCCGCCACAGTGGTGTACACCAGACGTAAACACAATCAGCTGTTCGCCAGCGCTGGACGTGTTCACCAGCGCTGAACGCGTTCACTGTATGTAAAGAACCGCACCCGCGGAAAAGGAAAAATACGTTAAAAAACTTGAACTCTTAGGAATTGAAGATCCTTATACTGTTATTGACAGTTTCGTAGATAATATAAATATGTGGACAAAATTTCTAAATAAAAATACTGTTAGTAATACTGTTTGCGTTTAGAGTTAAAGTAGACGAATCTGATCAAATGCAGTTCTCGATACTTTGTTTCAGGTAAGGACAGTAAAATAATAAACATCATTTTAATTATAAAAGATAACTATTAATAAAACAAATATGCTCGACCTTCACAAATACTAATAGTAAAAGACAAAGTCAAAAGTAATAATAAGAATAATAAGATCTAATAGTAGGCCTAATACCTGGCTCCGCTGGGTAGACATAGAATCTAGAATCTACTTCTTTACTTAAATTTAATTAGTTTAGATCTACATTCGATTCAAAATACACCCATAATAAATCAAAAGTAGTCATAATAGGCCTAATAAAGCATTTAATTGTCTCTAAGATCTAGAATCTCGCTCTATTATCTAATCATTTTTTTAGCAAACGAAATTTTCTGAAATTGAAATAGATTGTATGACTAGACTTAGATCTAGAATCTGCTACTTAAATTAAATTGTAAAAACTTTATACAAGCATGTAGTTGATATTATTGTAGTAGAAGGCTTTAATAAATTACTAATGCCTACCTACTTTGTTGTCTTTTTACAGCAATATGTATCTGATACTGGACTGAGTTTAATTAAATTCAAATTCATATCTAGTAATTGGTCTGCTAAGTTTTTGTAGCCTAGTAGTACAATCTAGATCATACCAGCCAACAACAAATAACCACATTATTATTATTTGGTTAATGATTAGGCAAATTTTTTTTAAATCCACTGTTTATAAAAGAAACAAATCAAGCTAGAAACATTATAAGTGAGATGGTTTAGAATAATAACAATGGACCCAGTCTACAATTGATACAATTGCAGGTCTACATAGGGCCTACAGTCTAGTAGTTTACAGTAGGCACCTAGTGTGTAGCTAGTATACTAGTGTGTAGCTGTCCAGAGTTAAGATTCTTAATGCCTTAATGCTTTCCCCTGATAAGCTATGTGTGCTATAAATGACATAACATGACATCGAGGTGAGAAGTGTTGAGGGGAGAGCAGTGGGACTTTCCCCTTTGTTCTCCCTGCTGGGCCCTGAGGGTCAAAATTATATAAGAAATACTATCTCTGTGGGGCTGGGTATCACGGAGGTGAGACATTTTCAGGGGAGGGCAGGGCAGACTCCTCTTTGGTTTTATTGTGGGCTAGATACAGGTGGGGGCAGCCATCATGAGGGTTGAACGTCAGTATTAATGTGTCTGATTACTTCCCTGCTGGATTATAAGGGTCTTAAATTGTATAACATGCTACCCAGATTGGTTATTACCCATGGATTATATTAGCCGTTGTAGTGTGGGTTTTGTAGGAGTTAAGTGGTCTCACGTTTGCTACAGTACATAACCTATAATATATTACTGCATTTGATCAGCTTCGTCTACTTAAACTCTAAACGCAAACGGTATTACTAACAGTATTTTTATTTAGAAATTTTGTCCACATATTTATATTATCCACGAAACTGTCAATAACAGTATAAGGATCTTCAATTCCTAAGAGTTCAAGTTTTTTAACGTATTTTTCCTTTTCCACGGGTGCGGTTCTTTACATACGGTGAACACGTCCAGCGCTGGTGAACACGTCCAGCGCTGGCGAACAGCTGATTGTGTTTACGTCTGATGTACACCACTGTGGCGGCGGGCGTAGGTATCACGTGATTTAGGTCACGTGTTTGCAAGGACTCTATTCAGTTCTTTGTAAAAACACATGTCATTCCTTGCTAGACAAACAGGTGTCAGGGTGATAGGGCAGCCGATAAGGGCCCCAAGATTTCCGCTTACATTTCATAACCTTTTCTTTCATTTTGAAATAAAGTCATATGTATAAAATGTTTCCTTTTTACTTTCTCGTATATACGAAGTATAGAGAAAGTCTTGTAATCGTGCAAAAAAAAAAATCATCGAGATTTTTACAAATCTCGACGTTTTACACCTCACTGATACGGAAAAACATAAGTTTGCAATCTTGTCCTTATGTCTGTGTGTCTGTGTGTGTGTAAACATGATAACTTGAGTACCGTTACAGCTAGGTTGATGAAATTTCATATATAAGTATTTTATCAAAATCGTAGAGCCCTATCAACTTTTAAGCGTTTTCCGATAACCGGAAGTGGTACTTTTTTCACTTTGAATTTTTCAAAAGCCTATAACTTGAGTACTATTTCAGATAGATAAATGAAATTTCACAAGTAAGTAAAAGATCTAATCCTCTACCTTCTATCAAATTTTGAGTAATTTCTGTTGACCGTAAGTAGTAATTTACGCTATTTCCGATTTCTCAAAAAACGCTTGTAAATTTATAAAGTACTAATAATTTTCCGCACTATTATGCACATTTTGTTTTGGCGTTTGCTTGGTGCGCAATTCTTTTTTCTATGAGATTCTATTCTATTTTAAAAAGTGTAAGTATTTAAAATGGATTAAAAATCATAACTATATCCCCTGTTGTTTTATATAAGAATATTCGAGAAAGTTTAGGGGAGATCACTCCTCGGTTTATTTAAAAAAGGCGCCCACCTTTGTTATTGTCTCCACTTCATGATTGGGCCCTTTTTACTTACAAAATTAAAAGAGATCAAACAACAGGCTTTTTAATATAAATGCTAACTAGAACGCAGACGAGGCTCCACCCAATAGCATTCACACCAGTGTAGAATTAAATATTTCATGTTTCTCTTACCACTAAACGTAGTTAACAAACAAAAGAAAATAATTAAGGCATTATTGCGTTTATTAAATGCATCATATAAATACACATTTCTCAGCTGCAAATAAATATTACATTAAATACTATAACATTAACTTACACAATATAAATATTACAATAACACCTAGAGAGTTATCTCTTTCAACATTTTTAACCTGTTAACACCCAATGTAATAAGGAATAGTTTAAGGTTAAAAGTAAAATACTTAAAATATCATAGCCGCAGAGTTACGTGTCCTAAAAGAGCTTGAATCCTTAAAAACAACTTTTACTTTAAAATAAGCCATACCTTCTTGTTCTTCCTTCTAGTGTTGGAAGGGATTTCCTCCAACACAACTAAGTATACGTGTCAACTGGTTATGCGCCATTGAGGCCATTGACTCCGATTTCAGCCTGCTTTTCTTTTTGTATTAGCCATACCTAATTCGAGATTCTTTGACAAAGCTACCCTTCAAAAACTTTTATAATAATGTCGCATAACTTAACTTTCAATAAGATTTCTATAATTTGAGCACTACTTTCTATCGAAAATATTTTCTAAATCATTGATCAATTTAAAATACCACACAAATCATGGGTCACTTAGAATTTCCCCAGCCTAAGCACTTAACAGAAATCCACATTGGACATTTTAAAAAGGGCAGTTAAACATGTACTCCTATTTTTAATATTGTCGATGAAGCTCAGCACAAAATAACAAATCATTTGGAAATCTTAATCCATATAGAGACATCTGTCATGTAAGGAACTTTGGATTTTAAAATTTGAAAAATTGTTAAAATATTTTTATAACATTATCAACAATCTAAAAAATTATATCCATCAATACATCTAGACTTTTTGATGTTTGCACCAATGTAGACATTTTAAATGTCTTTACAAATACTAGTAGTATGAGATTGAGACCTCACGCTCAAAATGAAAAAATATAATGTGGGTATAAATGTTCAAATGAGAATTATATATATATATATATATATATATATATATATATATATATATATATATATATATATATATATATATAAATATTTAGGCCTATTTGTTTATTTTTTATAAATCCATTCTTTTTTCCTAATAGACTTGTCTGTCAGGTTTTATTTTGGACTTTACTAAAGATTGGATGTATTTGATGTTTTTAATATTTTCGGTTACTAAATAAAAATCTAGAAAAAAAGCAAAAACAATTTGGTTTTCATGTGTAATTGCGACATAAACAATGGCATCCTGCTATTCAATAGGCTACCATAAATTTTATTGTACACATTGTAAATATATCCTGAAGATTAAAGAACCAAAACTTTACAAGTACAGAAATTCAACTATTAATATCTAAACATGGACTAGTAATCGGGAATCATCATATGATTATCATACAATTACTATGTACATATAATGCCATGTGTATAATGCAATAAAATAAATTAATTTTTTGGCAGGATTTTGAAAGCACTTATTTTTTATACATTTCAAAATAAGCCTTGTTAAAGCAACATTTAGCAGAGACAATGATGGGGACCTAGCCACTAGTCAAATACAAATGAAATGGACAACATCTAACATATAGCCTACATTTAACAAAGTCACATACTGGGATTTAAATTTTGACACATGAAACAATTTAATGGTTAGCACATTACATGAGTTTTCAATAAAGCATAAAGCTGTAAATGAGCTTTATAGAAAAATGTGAAGTTAATGAACAGGATAATAAAACTTTGTCAAAAATTTAAGCTTAGAAACTAACTTGAAAAAGATTCCAAGAATAAATTTATAATTGTAGGTTTTGAGTAGACTCAAGTGTATTGAAAGTTTTTTCCATTTACACTTTATCATAAATTGTCACATTTGAAAACAAATTTCCAAAAATTTTATTGATTGCAAGTTACAAAAGCATGACTGATGTTAAAAGTAGTTTCCCTTAGATACTTTATTTCAAACAGTGGTTTTTAGATAACAGTGAAGATCTTTCAACGATTTTGAAAATGTCAAATATAATTAATACTCTAAACTCATTACATTTTCCTAAAATTATAAAGGTCTCATAAGATAGGACTTAATAGACAATATTATTATTTTCATAATACTGAACTGTATGGACAATTAACTGTAATGCACAAAAACACCATCAACACTTCACTTTTTGTGTGTATATCACACACTATATATAAATGTATTATTAACTTTTGAACTATCAATTATCCAATATGTTAAATCCTTAGAACATACTAACTTGTTTTACAGATATAAACTGTCTTTAAAAATCCTATTATTTTTACAATATTAAGACAGCACAATTGTAACAAGTGCTGTACTTTATAAATTATGAAAGGAAAAAAAAAAGTTTATTAAAATGTATGAGCCACTAAAATATAATTTATAAAACAAAGCTCCGAAAATAATGTTTAGTTTAAATAATATCCGCTCAACAATGGTTTGGAAGATAAAATTAAAAAATGAAGTGAATAAGGAATGTACCAAAAAACTTCATTTACTAGCTCTCCTGGTTCATGCTACTGACTGTGGAGCTCCTATGCAAAAAAGATCCGGCTTCAGTCGACTGGGTCATGATTGTGTTGATGGTGGATGAACTGGATGCCAGCAGCTTGACAAACTGCCCCAGGTGTACCTGGCTCCGGTCATTGTGGTTACCTAGATAATTCTGCAAGGTGGCAATATTTTTCTGGCTCTGGATCTCGGCGGAGTAGTTTTCTGTTCTGTTGTCAGCCAATGCTGGGCCCCACTGAGGTAGTGGTTTACTGTGCATTTTCAGCAGCTTAAAAAACAATAAATAAATTGTTTCTTAGATTTCAAAAAAAACCTTTTTATTTTATCTTGATGTTTCAACAATAACTTTTTCTATTTAACCCATTCCGATTTTGTACTTTTCCATTTCACTTCTCTCATGTCCATTACGTACAGTTGCATTCTCTATTAGGTTCCATAATGTGTATCTGTATGTTTCAACAATAACCTTTTCTATTTAACCCTTTAGAGTCCAGATTTTGTACTTTTCCATTTCACTTCTCTCATGTCCATTACGTACAGTTGCATTCTCTATTAGGTTCCATAATGTGTATCTGTATGTTTCAACAATAACCTTTTCTATTTAACC